ATCGTGTTGTTATTGTACTCCGGCTGATTATTCTTGGCTTCTTCTTACAATATCGTGTAACTCACCCTGTGAAAGATGCATACCCTCTGTGGTTGACATCAGTTATTTGTGAGATTTGGTTTGCCTTATCCTGGATCTTGGATCAGTTTCCAAAATGGTCTCCCGTCAATCGAGAGACTTATCTTGACAGGCTTGCTTTAAGGTCTGAATTGCTCATCGTATCCACGTTCTGTTGGGCTTGGCATCTTGGTTTAACTATTATGTGACATTTTTTATTTTGCTAATATTTGTTTGTCTTGTTTAGATATGATCGTGAAGGAGAACCATCGCAGTTGGCTCCTGTTGACGTTTTTGTTAGTACAGTGGATCCTCTCAAAGAGCCTCCTCTTGTAACTGCAAACACTGTTTTGTCTATACTTGCTGTTGATTACCCTGTCGACAAGGTTTCCTGCTATGTATCAGATGATGGTTCAGCTATGTTGACCTTTGAAGCCCTATCAGAAACAGCCGAGTTTGCAAAAAAGTGGGTGCCCTTTTGCAAAAAGCACAATATTGAACCAAGAGCCCCTGAGTTTTATTTTTCCCAGAAGATTGATTACTTGAAGGACAAAATTCAACCCTCTTTTGTGAAGGAGCGCCGAGCAATGAAGGTTGTTCTTGAGGCATCATGTTTTCATTTCCAATTAAATATTTATATCCTGAGTTGTTTAATACACCCAAGTGAAAACCTTGTTGGAAACAAAGCATGCTGTTCTAGAACTTAAGCATATAAAATCTTCTATGCTCCCCCCACCCCTGGCCTGTCTTTGGATACATGGATAGAGAAAATTAAATATGGATGATTTTGCTTAACAGAGAGAATATGAAGAATTCAAAGTACGGATTAATGCCCTTGTAGCCAAAGCTCAGAAGATGCCAGAGGAAGGTTGGACAATGCAGGATGGAACTCCTTGGCCTGGAAATAATCCTAGGGATCATCCTGGAATGATTCAGGTACTACCATTTTCTCCAAAGTGCACATATAATCAATCTCTTCCCTTTGTTATATTTTCAAGTTAGTTGTAATATTTGTTTTATACAGGTGTTTTTGGGTCATAGCGGAGGGCTTGATACAGATGGAAATGAGCTACCAAGACTTGTTTATGTTTCTCGTGAGAAGCGACCTGGCTTCCAACATCACAAGAAGGCTGGAGCTATGAATGCTTTGGTTTTTCCTGCTGAAACTTCTTATTTATATCTTTTATGGTTTTGCTGATAAGTACTTTTTTTTTGTTAATGGCTGTATCCTGTGTCTTGCTTTGCTCTTGTACAAGTTTATGGCCTTTATGTGGCAGTAGCTTTTGTTCATATGCTTATGTTAAAAAACTGAATATCTATGGAAATAACCTACCAAATGGCGCTGTTGCTGTGATAACATTGCACAGTGATAGACTATGACAAATTTTCTAAAGCTGCTTTAGGATGTGAATGATGTTACTAGTTGATCATGTGGATTTCATATTTGAGATAATAGGGGAAATTCTTATTCTTCCTTTCTGTAAACCAATTTGGCATTTCCTTACTGTTCCTTGGTTGGGTATGGCTGCTATTTTTTACCAGAAAGATCTGTTTTGAGCATATCTAACTATGGTGTATCTTATGTGATGTAGATTCGAGTTTCTGCTGTCCTGACCAATGGTGCATATCTTTTGAATGTCGATTGTGACCACTATTTCAATAATAGCAAAGCTCTTAAAGAAGCCATGTGTTTCATGATGGATCCTCTTTTTGGAAAGAAGACATGCTATGTTCAATTCCCTCAGAGGTTTGATGGCATTGACTTGCACGATCGATATGCCAATCGCAATATTGTATTCTTTGATGTAGGTCTCATCTTTTTCTTTTTCTTTTGTAACTTTGCTAAGTTGCAACAAAGAAAATATTTTCTTTCAAGTATTGCTTTCCGCTGCTTTGGCTGAATTTCAATTTTTTTTATTCCTTTTAGATCAACATGAAAGGCCTGGATGGTATTCAGGGCCCAGTCTATGTGGGAACTGGTTGCTGTTTCAATAGGCAGGCTTTGTATGGTTATGATCCTGTTTTGACCGAGGAAGATTTGGAACCTAACATTATTGTAAAGAGTTGCTGGGGTTCTAGAAAGAAGGGAAGGGGTGGCAATAAGAAGTACAATGACAATAAGAGGGAAATTAAAAGAACCGAATCCACAGTTCCCATATTTAATATGGAAGACATGGAGGAGGGTGTTGAAGGTATGCTGTTATGAAAAACTCTCGTAACCTCCGATATTTATGTTTGTTTATGCATGTTGAGTTTTGTGTGTTGATTTCATGTGATTTCATTTTCCCCCCTATCCCACTGATCAACTTCACACTCACTAATTTGTTATAGTTTGTTGGCGAGATATGTATACAAAATTGTCTGATAGATGAGATGACAATGTCTTATCTTAGATGATATGGAATGTGTCCTTCTGCAGGTTATGATGATGAAAGGTCACTTCTTATGTCTCAAAAGAGCTTAGAGAAGCGCTTTGGTCAGTCGCCAGTGTTTATTGCTGCCACCTTCATGGAGCAGGGTGGCATTCCACCTTCGACCAATCCAGCAACTCTTCTTAAGGAAGCAATCCATGTTATCAGCTGTGGTTATGAAGACAAGACAGAATGGGGCAAAGAGGTGAACATGTCTATTTACAATTGTGTTTTTTATTCCTGTGCTCTGGTTTAAAGAAATATGAGATGTGAGATTAATGGGTGGCTTGTTTAGTTATTAATTAAACATTTTCTGACTTCACCAGATTGGATGGATCTATGGTTCTGTGACTGAAGATATTTTGACTGGGTTTAAGATGCATGCTCGTGGTTGGATTTCCATCTATTGCATGCCACCTCGCCCAGCATTTAAGGGCTCTGCTCCCATTAATCTTTCTGACCGTCTCAATCAGGTGCTTCGGTGGGCCTTGGGTTCAATTGAGATCTTTCTAAGCAGGCATTGTCCCTTGTGGTATGGCTACAATGGGAGGTTGAGGCATCTGCAGAGGCTTGCTTATATTAACACTATTGTCTACCCCCTTACTTCAATCCCATTGATTGCTTACTGTACGCTTCCTGCATTTTGTCTTCTCACAAATAAATTTATTATTCCTGAGGTAAGTGATTTCTTATATCTCATTTCTGGCTGATAAATTTATAATTCCTGATGTAGTCTGATGGTCGATCTGAGGCTCTGAGCTTTCTAAATTTTGGGAAATAACATTTGGTTTATCTTATGCACTTGCAGATAAGCAACTTTGCCAGCATGTGGTTCATTCTCCTCTTCGTCTCCATTTTCACTACTTCTATTCTTGAGCTTAGGTGGAGTGGGGTTAGTATAGAAGACTGGTGGAGGAATGAACAGTTTTGGGTCATCGGTGGGACATCTGCACATCTCTTTGCTGTGTTCCAAGGGCTTCTAAAAGTGCTTGCTGGGATCGATACAAATTTTACTGTTACATCAAAGGCATCAGATGAAGATGGGGACTTTGCCGAGCTTTATGTGTTTAAATGGACATCACTTCTCATCCCTCCTACAACAGTACTTATTGTGAATTTGGTAGGGATTGTTGCTGGTGTATCCTATGCCATAAACAGTGGTTATCAATCTTGGGGTCCACTCTTTGGCAAACTATTCTTTGCTATCTGGGTCATTGCCCATCTGTACCCGTTCTTGAAGGGTCTTTTGGGTAGGCAAAATCGTACCCCAACCATTGTTATTGTTTGGTCCATTCTCCTTGCTTCAATTTTCTCCTTGCTGTGGGTGAGGATTGACCCCTTCATCTCTGGCTCCAACAAAGCAGCGAATGGTCAATGTGGCATCAACTGTTAGTTCTCTTAAAGATTCATTTTCTGTTTTACCATCCCCTTCTGTCTGGAGACACTCAAGGTTGTAGTTGTGTATATAACAAGAACTCACTATCATAAGTTGTATGGAGGATGGACCCCTCTATTTAGCATGAATAGATGGGTTACCCTTGTAGCATTCGTGTTGTGTATTATTTATTTATTTATTTTAATTGTTCCTTTTTTGGTCCTTACAAGAATAGTTATGTTGAGATGTACGTCGTTATTATATTTTTTGCCGCATAATATAAATTGTTTATGCGAATAATTTAATTTAAGCTAACTAGTTGCTGCGTGCTGTTTGATTCCTTTGTATGTCCCTTTTGTTATCCTCTTTTTGCGGTACAAGGATAGGGCAAGAACCCAAAACTAACAATTTAGAAATTTATGATAATTATTAATTAGATATATGTATTCTATTTCAATGTAGTGATGTGGTCTGAAGTATGAACGAGACCTGGGAATCGTATCAGAGTTGTCTTCTCAGTGTTAGTGAGTATGATTGACAGAATAGCGTGTCAATTTGTCATTGCCATCGGCCATCAGTCAATATACATTAAATCTGCTGGCTGAGAATTAGGATCTTTATTTATTTTTATTTTTATTTTTTGGAAATATTAGGATCTTTATTATATCACTGTTCTTGCAACTTTTAATCCTCTTAACAAGTTTCCGTTTAGTTCATGCGGAGGTACACGCAACAGTAAAATGAGGTGGAACTATCTGCTCTTGGAAAGGGTATCCTTTTATTCGAACTTCTCATAATAAAAGAGAGAGAAAAATTGCATGTGTTTTATCTGTTATTTGAAATTTAACTCCGAGAATACCAGGATTCTGTCATGTTTTCCCAATCTATACGAGCAAAATAACAAGTATCGTGATGTTCCTGTAAAGGGTCATCAGAATTTAAAGATTTACCCCTGATTGCATATGCTAAGAAAAAAATAAATTGACTTCATCAGAAAATGAACACATGTATATTGGCCAATGATCGGTGATTACTATTAAGTTATACTCTAGAAGAACAAGAGTACAAGAATAGTTGATTTTGACCTTGAAGATGAGCAGTTAAGCCACGAGAAAGCCAGGACACAGTGAAATGGGCATTGGTAACATACATAAACGAAAAACCAAAACCAATATTCCATTCTCAATTGCATATAAATGTGATTTGTGGAGGGAAAAATTCCAGTAACATAAGAGAAATCCAAAATAAGTTAACTGAATGTTTATAAACAGAATATGCAGTTTCGCCTCTTAGCTTCAATGGAAATCCAGCACTTGACTCAAACTATTCCTCGTCATCATCATCAATCAGTATGCTCTTGCATGCTTCGTAACACATGAAAGAGATTCCAGCAGCTGGCACCAACTTCATGCAACTAGGTCCCAGTCCTCTATATAAACCCTGGATCCCTTCTTTTTCCATTATGCTTGCAAGGGCATGAACCACATTTTTGTAAACCTGTCTTCCACTGAGAGCTCCCACTTGCATATGCTTGCGAGCCACCTCAAGTGGGAAAGTTGCACTACTTGAAATAGCACCAGCTGCTGAACCAATCAAAAGGGTCTCAATGTTGCCAATCTTCTCTTGTTTAAAAAATTTTCGGTATGCTTTTCGTAAAGTGTCATAGGCAAAGTAATTAGTAGCAGCATATGGAATAACTCCAATAAGACTAGGAGCCAGGCCTCTGTAAAGTTCTGCAGGACCCTCTTCTCGAATTATTTTCAAGAATGCATCAAGTAGACCATCATAAACATCTCTCTGCAAAATCATTAATCAAGCTTGCTTAAGATTTCCCTTCTATTTTCAAAGTAGGATGCTAAAACATAAAAATGGGATAGCAAAAATTTTGTATACTTTTAAAGTACATACCTGTATAGTTAGTCGAGTCTTGAGTAATTCAAGAGGATATGTGCATATAGTTGAACTCACTCCAGCACAGGCACCTGCAATCAATGATGCAGGAATAGGGAGTTTTGGCTTCTCCCCGGGCTTTGGTGATAGGTTCTTGTTTACTGTATCGTAAGCAAATAGCTGCAGAAACAGGTGAAAATATATTGAGATACATAAAAACACTTTGCAGATTTGATCACTCTCTGATAGATAAAATAACTATAGAAAGTTTGAATGATGGAACCAGTTTTTCCATTAAAACTAAAAGAAAAAAAACGTACAATAAATAGACACCAGAAATATTCCAGTGCAACAAATCCCTATAATCAGGGAAAGAGATAAAACTAGAAAACTGAATCCTATTTTAACTAAACAGGAAAAATATCAGAAACAAACTAATCCTAGGAATTTAAATAACAAATAACGAAACAAACTCCTAAGATTAAGGAGGAAAAATAAAACATTCTAGATGCTGAAAACTAGGGATTGCAACACTCCCCCTCAAGCTGGGTGGTAGATGTCCAGCATTCCCAGCTTGGAAATTAGTCCTTCAAATTTAATTCTTGATAAAGACTTGGTTAAGATATCAGCAATCTGGGACCCTGTGGAAATGTGACTTAGATCAATAATATTTGCATCAATTTTTTCCTTGATGAAATTTCTATCAAGTTCAACATGCTTGGTACGGTCATGATGGATTGGATTATTGACAATTCCAATGGTGGCCATGTTATCACAGAAAATCTTCATAGGATCCTTGTATTCGAGGTGTAGCTCCTTTAGGACTCTTAAAATCCACATTCCCTCACAAGTGCCTAAGGACAATGCCCTGTATTCGGCTTCAGCACTGCTTCTGGCTACCACAGACTGTTTTTTACTCCTCCAAGTGACCAAATTTCCCCACACATATGAGCAATAGCCTGTGGTTGATCTTCGATCGATAATGGATCCTGCCCAATCAGCGTCCGTGTAAATCACAATATCACGGCTGGAATTTTTCTTGAAGAACAATCCTTTACCAGGAGTCATCTTTAAGTATCGTAGGATTCTGTAGACGGCTTCCAAGTGCTCTTCATTTGGGCTGTTCATAAATTGACTGACCACACTCACAGGGAAACTAATATCAGGCCTAGTGTGGGCTAAATAAATGAGTTTTCCAACTAGTCTTTGATATCTCTCAGTGTCTACCGAAGCACATTCTTGTTTGAGTCCTATCTTGTAGTTCGCCTCCATTGGTGTATCAGAAGGTTTACATCCCAACATCCCTGTTTCATTCAGCAGATCAAGAGTATATTTTCTTTGAGAAACTGAAATTCCTTCCTTAGTTCTTGCCACTTCCATTCCAAGAAAATATCGTAATTTTCCAAGGTCCTTGACCTCAAATTTGTGAGCTAACGTCTCCTTTAATTGCTTTATCTCATCCTCCCAATTACCAGTAATCACAATATCATCAACATAGACAATTAATATTGTAATTTTCTGATGAGGTGCAGTTTTAACAAACATAGTATGATCAGTTTGACATTGGGAGTACCCTTGATTTTTGACAACTGCAGTAAACTTATCAAACCAAGCCCTTGGAGATTGCTTCAAACCATAAAGGGATTTTAATAATCTACATACCTTTCGAGATCCTTGACCATCTTCCACTCCTTGGGGAATTTCCATGTAAACCTCTTCTTCTAAGTCACCATTTAAGAATGCATTCTTCACATCCATTTGCCAAAGGGGCCAATCTAGGCAAGCAGCAATGGACAAAAGAATTTTAATTGAATTAAATTTTGCTACTGGAGCAAAGGTTTCCTGGTAATCAATGCCCTGTGTCTGAGTGAATCCTTTGGCCACAAGTCTTGCTTTATGGCGATTAATACTCCCATCTTCATTATATTTGATGGTAAAAATCCACTTACAGCCAACCACTGATTTTCCTTGTGGTAAGGTAACTATCTCCCAAGTGCCATTTTTTTTGAGTGCATGCAATTCATCCTGGATAGCAGAACACCATTCAGTAGTCTTAGATGCCTCAAAGTAGGATGTAGGAATGGTTTCCTTGTCAATGTTCTTGACTAGATGCTGCATCCTGGAGGAAAGATTAGCATAGGATATAAAATTACAGATGGAATGACTTGTACATGTCCTTACCCCCTTACGAAGTGCAATTGGCATGTGCAGAGCATCATCAGAACTTGGCAGCAAGGATTCAGTTTGGTCAAGTGCAGGACTAATGGTTTCTTCAGTTGGACCAGGAGCCAAGGTAATCTGTTTGTCAACATGTTCAAGCATCTCAGAAGCTGTTCTGTATTTGGGCCGTCGCGTGTAGACTTGCAGGGGCTGCTGTTCAGGCGGTTTCTGGAGCGGGCCGGAAGAGGATAAGCCATTAGATGAAGTGTCATTTTCCTGAGATTCACCTAAGACCGGTGTAGGGGCTGTTGAAGCAGAGTTTTCTGGAGTATTAGTCACAAACAACCATTCCTTGGAATTAGGGATCTCCCCCTGAATGGCGGTTTGGGAAAAATAAGGCTGATGTTCAAAAAAGGTGACATCTTTAGTAATGTAGAATCGATGTGTGGCTGGACTGAAGCATTTATACCCCTTCTGAGTAGGGGAATAGCCAAGAAAGATGCCCTTAAGAGCCCGAGGATCCAATTTACCACCTTGAGAGTTATGAATGAACACGGTGCAACCAAAAATTTTTGGTGGGAGATTTGGGGTTAAGGTCAATGAAGGGAATGCAGTGAGGAGTGTTTGGTAAGGTGAGGAGAAGTGTAATACCCGAGATGGCATGCGGTTGATAAGGTAAGTGGCTGTAAGAATAGCTTCCCCCCAATAATTTTTGGATGTATTTGAGGCAAAGAGTAGGCTACGAGCAACTTCAAGTAAATGGCGATTTTTTCTCTCAGATACACCGTTTTGTTGTGGGGTATTGACACAAGAGCTCTGGTGGATGATGCCATGGTCTTTTAGGTAAGCTGAAAGGTCCAAGTTAAAATAATCACGTGCATTGTCAGATCTAAGGGTAAGGATTTGGGTTTGAAATTGGGCAAGGATCATTTTGTGAAAGACTTTAAAGGTGGATGTGACTTCAGATTTATTGGCTAATAGGTACACCCATGTCATTCGAGTATGATCATCAATAAATGTGACAAACCAACGAGCACCCGTAAGGCTTTTAACAGTTGCAGGTCCCCACACATCACTGTGGATAATGGCAAATGGTTTAGAAGGAACATGCATTTGTAAGGGATAATGAGACCGAGTTTGTTTTGCAAGTTGACATATATCACATGAAGGAAAATTCGAATTCTCATTAAATAAAGAAGGGTACATCTTTTTCATATATTGAAAGTTTGGATGCCCTAATCTAAAATGCCATAAAAGAGCCTTATTCAAATTGCTAGTTGCTGCAAATGTGCTGTCTTGAGTCTTCATAACCGCGGCTGTGTAAAGTTGATATAAACCATTAGAGACCCTAGCACTGCCAATCGTCCTCCCCGATGCCAAATCCTGAAAAATACAATCAACGTGGGTAAATTTGACTGTGCACTTTAAATCCTTGGTCAATTTGGTAATAGAAATTAAATTGCAGGTAAGAGATGGAACGTAGAGAACTCCAGTTAAAGATATGGTTGACGATAGGTGAACAACACCAATTCCGTGAACCTTGGCTAAGCCTCCATTTGCTGTTTTTACTGATTTTGCCTCGAAAATGGGAAAGTATTCAGAAAGAAGAGAGGAATTACCAGTCATATGATCTGTAGCCCCAGAATCTACCATCCAGGAATCACATTTATCAAGATCGGATTGGAGAGCTGTATGGAATGTACCTGATTGATGACTATCAGATGAGGGATTAGATTTGTCCTTATTGCAATCTTGCAGCATGCGTTGTATGGCTATCACTTGTTCCCTTGTAAATGTATGGCCTTCGGATTTTGCTTGCGGAACATCTTCTACAACTGCAGCAACATGATTAAAGTCTCTGTTTTGTCTTGGCTTCCAATCAGCTGGCTTGCCATGGATTTTCCAGCATGTATCCCGAATATGCCCAGTTCTGTTGCAATGGTCACACCAGAGCTTACCATTTCGCCTAGGTCTGGAGTCTGCATTGTTGGGTCTAGAGACAAAGGCTGCTGCTTCCAAAGGTGCATCAACTTTTGGGATGCTATTGGTCAAAACTTTGCGGCTTTCTTCCCACTTTAATTCAGAAAAAACTTCTCGCAAGGATGGCAGAGGGCGAGTGGCCATGATGCGGCTGCGAGCTCCATCATAGATTGGATTGAGTCCCAAAAGAAGGTTGTAGGTGCGGTCTTGTTCAACAATTTTCTTATACTGAAGAGTATCGGCTGGAGTAGTCCATTCATGTTGATCATAAAGATCCAATTGTTGCCAGAATTTTAGGAGTGAATTATAATAGCTGGTGACATCCTTGTCCTCCTGTTTGAGATCACGAAGAATCCCCTTGATGTGAAACAAGGCAGCTGTGTTATCTTCCTTAGAGAAGGCTTCCTTCACGCCATCCCAAATTTCCTTGGCTGTGGAGCACAACATGTATGTTTCAGCTATTTCAGGCACCATGGAATTCAGCAACCAAGACATCACAAGGTTATTTTCAATGGACCACTTCTTGTATTGTGGATGACTGGTTTCCAGAGGAGCAGCATCACCCGTACCGGTGAGATGATCTCCCTTGCCACGGCCTCCAATGAACATACGAACGCTGCGTGACCACAACAAATAATTGTCTCCATTGAATCGATGACCAGTGATGACTAATGCTGGACTATCGTTGGTAATGACAGCTGCTGAGTTGTTGTTGGTTTGGTTTGATGCTGAAACATTGAGTGGGGTTGTTGTTGGAGTGGTATTTGTACCGGTGGTATTGGAAGAAGTAGTTTGGTAGGCTCTCATGGTGCCAAAGAGTGGCACATTGGTAGCCATGGGTGGATCAGTCCCTTAAAAATCAAGCTCTGATACCATATAGAAAGTTTGAATGATGGAACCAGTTTTTCCATTAAAACTAAAAGAAAAAAAACGTACAATAAATAGACACCAGAAATATTCCAGTGCAACAAATCCCTATAATCAGGGAAAGAGATAAAACTAGAAAACTGAATCCTATTTTAACTAAACAGGAAAAATATCAGAAACAAACTAATCCTAGGAATTTAAATAACAAATAACGAAACAAACTCCTAAGATTAAGGAGGAAAAATAAAACATTCTAGATGCTGAAAACTAGGGATTGCAACAATAACGCTTTTCACATTTAGAAGCATGATTCTCCAACAAATCATTAACAGTACAAGTGCAAGTAAGCTGTTTTTCTCTGTGCAAAATCAGATGGTATCCATGACAGTTTCATGTACACACCAAAATGGATCAGACAGAGAGGGAAATATGAGGCAAAGAAATGTAAAATTTCTATAGCTAGGAAGTTTGCAAATTATGAGATTTTTTGCTTCTCTTCTCTAAATGGGTGCGGATCTTCATTTCGGGCATGCCAATAAATGTCATGGAACTGGCACCCATAGAACTGCTAAACATTAAGACCCATTGCCAATAAATGGAGAGGTAGAAACCTCATAAAAATCACTATGAGTGTGTTCGAAATGTTAAAAAATAGGAAATGATTTTGATTTTAAAAAATCCCATGGATTTCATTGCTTTTTTACAAATCCTAGGATTTGGTGGGAATTGATTTGAATTGAATTTTAATGATATAGATTTACCTTTTTACTCTTACTAAATGGCCTATTTAATAAAATGAAATCCAATCAAATCCATTTTTAATGAGTTTCAAACATAAGATTTGATTTCTTAATCAATTCAAATCCTATTTTCCATAATGGTTTCCAAACATAAAATTTGATTTCTAAATCAAATCAAATCATTCCCTAGTTTCAAATATTCCAAACACAATGTATGGGAATGATATTCATTTGAGTACAGGTGTTTGGCTGACTTATTTGAAATTGAATTTGAATTCACAAGTTAACTGACACAAAATTGTGAAACTACGATTAAAGCATACTTGCACATTGACTACTTGAAGGGCCATATATATATATATATATATATATATATATATATAAGATCCCCACCTAAAAACAATAAAATAAGAACAAGGCAACTATCATAAGCAAGTTCTTTAGAAACATAAATCAAAGAAAATTAAGCCCAAAAACTGCAACAGTATTAAAAAAAGGTTCAGTAAAATGTAAAGCATCCAATTACAACTTAAAATAAATTGAATTTCAAGAGCCTTGGGAGTCAAAATCGAGGTCCTACCAAGGTTCGGAAGGGGGAGAGGAACGCATAAATTATTTGATTGTAAGATACTACCTAGGATACAAAATTATATTCAAACACATATATAGGCATATAAAAGCAGCAATACAGAGAAATAGAACAATAGAACAGAAGAGTCTGAAACAGCCATACTGCAGTAACGCCCAACCCAGCTGAACCAGATAGTGGCCAAACTAGCAGAAACAACAGCACCAAAGGAGAAGAGGTTAAAAACTAGCCAAAACAGCAGCAGCAGCAGAATAGAAGAGGGATTCAGCACAACAGGGTTCAAAACAGAGAGAATGGGAATTCAGGTTCAGCCAAACAGAGAAGGCACTCAGTCGAAGAGACGATGGATGCAGCAGCAGCAGCAGCAGCATGACGATGGGTTAGGGCTTCAAAAGGAAGGGAAGTTAAGAGAACCCCCTTCGCTATGAAGGTTGGGACGCCATATACAGGGCAAATATGGGATGTTAGAACCCCTGCGCAATTCCCGTGATTTGACCCACAATAGCAGCTGCAACAGCAGGGTCATTAAATTCAGCGCAATTGCATGCTATTCCACTACAATAGCAGATTGCGGAGGCTGGCCACGACCAGCCGCAATGCAACAAGTAAGTGTTGCGGCTGTTACGGTCGCAATTGCAGCCAAATAGAGATGTGTTGCGGCGCAATTGCTCCACAACAGTGAAATATCATAAAATTTTGTATTTGCCCTCATTTTTAATTTGTAATAGCTATTTTTGACTGCTGTTTTGGTCTTTAATTGGGTTTTAGTGTCAAACCCTCGATATTCTCTCTCTCGCTACTGGCTTTCTGCATCTCTTTCTCTCTCGCCTCTGCGACTCTGCTTCTCTTCCTCTTGTCTCTCTCGTTTAACGAAACAGGTGCCAATTCTGTCCTTGTTTTCTGGTACTAATTTCTTAAGTATATTTCTGTTTAGAATGATTGTACCCACACTGATTTCTCAAGTATATTTCTGTTCTACTGCACTGTCCCATACTGATTTATTATAGGTCATGATTCTATGGTTTCCATTCTGCTCTACTGTATATCTGTACCCACTACCCATACTGATTTCTTAAGTATGATTGTGGGATAACTTGTGCTTTCACTGAACATAGAGGTATCACATAGAATTTAATAAAAAATTTGAACATTCATGTGGTATATCAAGATTTTATTCTGATATACTGCAACCCGGTATAGCGTATAGGGGTCAGTCGCGACCGGCCGCAATCTGAATTTGATAACTATGTGCTACAGCCACTACGAAAAACTGTAGCGTGGCGCTGCGAAAATAACGGTTGTGTGCCGCTACCTGCAACAGTAGAGCTATTGCACGTTATAGCACCATAACTATGGGCCTATGGCAAACTCACTCAGTTTCTCTCTCTTCATATAAAAATGATGCATCAGATTGACTTTTTCTTTTGGGCACATAAAAGGGGTCAGAAAATAAAACAAAACTAATGTAGGAAAAGCTACTCCCAATAAGTCATCAAGCAGATTCTGACACAGTCCCTTTGGACGAGCTTGATGGAGCTGATACTAAAATACCCTTGAGTGAGAGATATGAGCTAGCCAATCTGAACCTTTATTAGCTTCTCTAAGAGTATGACAAAGCTCCAGATACCAATGCTGCCCAAGGATGTTGCAAATGGCTCTATAAGAGGATTACAAGGGTGATTATCACTACACCCATGTTGAATCATCTCCAAAGCTACAAGCGAATCCAGCAAAACCTGCTAAAATCCATGATTCCATCCTATTTCCAATCCAGAAAGTAAACCCCCAAAGCTTTGGTGTGTTAAATTCAATTTAGATCTTACAAAAGTTCATTTTAACTCCTCTTACCATCTATACACAACAAAAAGTATCTAATCTACAAGTTCCAGGGAACTCTTTCTAAAACCATGAGAAGATTTGGTTTATCAAGTTGTTTGTTAGGATGTCCTTAAAAACTTGGAAAATATGGTCTCATGGCCTCCATACCCAATAAATCACTCATCAAAACTTGTAGTTAACAGACCAGAGACTTCCAATATGGTGTATACAACATTTAAAAAAAAAAATCCAAAATTTATAGATTCAAGAATCCTGTAAACACTCTTCTTGACATTGAGAATATGAATGGCCCTCATAAAACAAATGCTGCCAATTAGAAGTAAATCCATGACAACAAGGAATGCACAAACCAAGAACAAAGTAAATAAAACAAACAAAAAGCCCACAATCGGTATCAAAATTAATGATACAATGGAGTCCTTGAAAAACAACCAACCAAAAAGTAAAGTACCAAGTATCATATAGGGGTAAATAAATGAAACACAAGTCCTGAAAAACATGTGTATATTACCTCAATGGCCTTGCTAGGTGCAACCCGAATGACATTAACGAGATTGCCCCTAAACAATCCCTTCCAGCCATCAGTATTCATAATATTGTTGAAAACCTCAACGGTAGAATGGCCACTACTTCCCACCATTAAATGAGTCCTTATAGTCTCCAATGGTGCCACAGCGGTGCGGGACACAGCCCCAGCAATTGCGCCACTAAACAACCTCCTAAGCGAAGGATTCTTGATCTTAATTTTGAGTGTGAGGCCACCCTTTTTCATCTTGGTTCCTTCCCCCTCACCTGGAACTCCAACAATTTCAACTTTCCCCAGTGACTGAACATACTTAACGTACAATTCGTTAAAGGGAAGTTTCATGCCACCATTGTCACGGGAATCAGAAGGGTTTGGTTCCACACCAAACCCCATTCCCATTTGGCCAACGCTGGCAAACAAACCACCGGGATGATAGTACCCCAAATCTGTTTTGTCATCGTATTGTTGAATTCCCCTCCTACCCATGAACATCAAAGACCTTTTGAGTTGTGATGTGTGATAAAGCTTGCTTTTTTCTTTCTCCCAAGGCTTAATGAATAACACAGACAACTATGTCACACTCATGGTTTCAGAGAGATAGTAATACAGTCATTCTAAGACAAAATCGAGAGAAGAAGGTTGAATGAATGAAGATGTCTTGTTTGTCCCTAGACCTCTACTCGGAACGAAAGGGGTCTTACGTTAAATATCGCAATCTAAATCTCAGGTTTTGTTATGTTTTTTTTTTTTTTTTTTTTTCTGCAGCTGCTACCTCTTGGTGGGTTGAGAAGTTAGGTATTTGCTTCCTTGCGTAGCATTGCGGTGCCACCAAATCCAAAACCTCTATTTTATATTTCTTTTCGTAAATTAAATAAATGAAAATAAATAAAAACCTTAATTCCACTGAAAGAGATCGCATTTTGACGTCGTTTGACTTGTTTTCTTATTTTGTTCCTCAAATTCGTCACCTTTGCATTTATTATTTATATTATTTTATACATTATTATAAAAAGAATTTTCTCAATATATCTAGGTTTAATTTTTTTTCAAATATGTTATTTTTATTTAACTTAACTATCTATCTATGTTGTCATATTTAATTTGCTCGCTCGCAATCATAAAAAAAAAAAAAAAAAACTCTCTCATGGGTTTACAATTTTATATTTTTATAAAACAATATTGTTGTTATTTAATTAAAATGAAATTAAAATTTATGTATATTTGGAGATAAAGCAATCACTAGATTATTACAAAAAGAAAAAAAAAAAGAAAAGAAAAAAACAATCACTAGATCAATTTTCTTAACATAACTCCAAAGATTGCCAAAACACTGGAAGCTAAAATTTGTCACTGATTAATTGACCAACCGGTCTGTTTGTATTTGAATTCCGCTGAATGCATTCTTGAGGAGGGGCTGAACCTTTAGCCATCATTGATCTCCGCACTTCGGATTAGTCTCATAGCCGGCTCAAAGAGTCGAAGCTTGTGGGTATACCGGAGAGAGCCAACTCGCCTCAAAAAAGTAAATAGGGTTGGGTAACTCCAAATAAAAAATAAATTAGTGCTTTTTTTTTTCCTTTTTCTACCTTTTTCTGTCGAGCTTACTGCCAGTAGTCAAAGTCTTGCTTTCTGCAGAATTCAATTGCTTTGGAAAACTCTTGCACGCCGACACGCCGTGTTCTGCCATTATCGTGTGCGGATATGCGCTACAGCATGTGTTTCTTGTTGGTTTCTTGGGCTGCCCATTATTCTTCGGCTTGTATAAATGTACTCGGCCCAATTCAACATTTCTTATGAGCTGATTTCCTGGTAAGCCTTTCAAATTCGATGATAATCGAATTCAGGCCTCATTGGCCTATAAAAGTAAACTCTTATGAAACAGGCCCAGGTTCAAGTGCTAATGAGAGATGAACCCAAAGAAACAGAATTTTATTTTCAAAAATAATTTTTTAATTTAAAAAAAAAACTGTTGGATAATGCCTGTTTTATAATAAAAAAAATTAAAATTATATCTATTTTTTAATTTTTAGAATCAAATTTATATAATATATTTCAGTTGTTTTTGTTTTATGTTTTGACTTTTAACTTAAAAAAAAATACAAAAATATTTATTTTATTGACTACTTTACAAAATAATTTTAAGAATTAAAAAAACCAGGACACCATCAAATAGTTCCTAAAATGACTATGAATTTATTCCACTATTATATATTTAGACATCAATTTGGTTCTGAAATTAATGTTTATTATACATTGTACGTAAATTATCAAATTAATGTCTAAAAATTTTATCTTTAAAAGATGGGGAAAGTGTGTGTAATTTTTTTATTTTTTTTGATAACAAGTGTGTGTAATTTTAAAGTAGGTAAAGTTGTGTACTTATGTCATTTTAAGAAAGAAAAAAAAGAGATAGATCATGGGGAGAGAAAGTGAACAAAAAAATAAATAAATGTATGGGTCTCACATTTTTGTGAAAGTAATTAAAATTGTGTGTTTAAAAGGACAAACAATTTTTTCTTAAAAGATTAATTAAAATATTTATTCTTTTATTACAAAGGAAGTCCAATAATAAAGAGAATGCGGAAGTGAAAATAGAGGTGAAGTGCCAAACAGCCTCACTCGGATTTGTTCCTCAATTCAGGGAGTCTCCAAATGAATTTGGTATCATTTGACTTTTTTTTTTTTTGGAACTAAGTTTCATAAACAAACAATTAGCTTTTTTTGTCATTTGTGAAGGTCAAAACTAATAATATGACATAAAATATAAAGGGTATTGTTGCTTCATAAAATTATGATATAGATTATGTCTTTATGAAGTCATGTACATTCATCAGTTACCCTTCCTTCAAAGTCATGCCTTAACTATGGACGATAACATATGTAGTCTGCTCATGTAATAAAGGCCGAGTTGGATATGCGAAAGCTGTTTCTTTGTTGTCAAAATACTAAATGCATATTCTTTATATGGTAATATAATAGATAGGAAAAAGAATTAAAATTATAATGTATTTGAAATTAAATTAAAAAATAAAAACATCTTTATTTATGTATTTTAAAACAAGTTCACGTAAAAATTTCTTTTAGTACTAGAAATTTCTCTGGCGCCATAGGAATAAATAAAAAATAAAAGATTTGTCCAAAATGCAATACGGATCGTTTGTAGTTAATATTTTAACTGCATGGTGCGCTATTTTATTCCCACGACCATGATTTTTAGTTTTTGTTTACAATTCTTTTTTATAAAATAAAATTTTTTAGCCATTAAGATTGGTTTTAGTTGGATTGGGATCGGTCCAAAATGTCGCTTAAGTTACTGGTAAAAACGATGTTCTAACCTCAAAACAGTAAGCTAAACCAAAAAAGCTATCTACATATCTTCGATTAACAACGGTGCTACAGTCCAAAGAAATTAGAATGGAATGTAAAGTATCACATATTACCAGTAGACAGTGGAGTTCATGCACGAAAAGTGCTTTGCTTTCTCATACACCATTAACACCTTGGGCGGCCGTTCTTTTATATATAGAAGTTTAGAATTCCACGTTTGAGTTTTGGATATACAGCCCATATTATATTAATAATATGATAGGAAGGAATAAATCTTTGGTCAGTGCATCACACCAATGAAAATATTACATGTAAGTTAAAATTCTATTTTTTCTGTCAAATTTTTTCTCTCTCCTCTGATGTGTAATATTTTCATTGATGAGATGCACTGAATCTAGGTACAAACAGTAGTACCAAAGATTTATTCGATAGGAAGAGTTTTGCCGCCCTTATAATGCCAACTCAACCTCAATTAATTTGATGAAGCGGGTGAGAAATTAAAATTAAAAATAAAAATTCCCTTTCAATCTTGTAAAGCGTCACACTCTAATTTCTCATTAAAAAATTAAGCGTGGACGTTATATTGGCATGGTCACTCGAGAATCCACATAATCAAGAACAGGATGAATAATGATCCAATAAATTGGATGTATACGTGTCTACGAAGTAAACTCTAATGTGTCTTATCGTTATCCTATATATAGTTTACTACTTGGCAGAGTCAAATGGGATTAGATGTGCAACAAACTGAGGGAAAACTCTCAGCCATAAGAATCTCATAAAGCTCATCTAGAAGTTTTCAATTAATCAAATTAATTTTAACCGTGAACATATGTCACGTGATTTGTATTCCTAAAAAAGTAATGATATAATTTAAGTTTTTGATGTTAAAACATTGTGATAAATACGAATATATAGCTTGGTAAGATATAAAGCCTTGATAGTTATATAAATTGAGATCGCACGGGATGTCCCATTAAGCAAAATCATATCCTTAGGTGGAATTAATAATCATGAGTCTCTTTCCCCTTGCAATCTTTGTAAGCCTATTGCTCAAACAAGTGAGCCTAGCTCTTGGAGATGTTGGTACTGCTGTTTCTTATGGAACCCCATATATACGTGAGTGAACAATTTATTTCTTGCTCCAATAATAATATAAGTGGAAAGATACAATACTAAATTTCTTTTGTATTTCTTTCACAAGAAGACAAAGAGACCTATGTCTTATATTTAGTTTGTTTGTTTGATTTCTCGTAATTGTTTGGTTTTCATCTTTGCTCAGCTACTGCTTGTGATGGAAATAGAAGAGATCAGTTTCCTCCGGGAAATCTTTTTGTGGCTGTGAATGAAGGGTTGTGGGATAACGGGGCAGCATGTGGAAGGCGATACAGAATAAGGTGTGTGAGTGGAAACAATAAGCCATGCAAAAGTGGTAGTATTGACGTTAAAGTGGTTGATTTCTGTCCAAGGTCTCCATGTTCCAACACTATGCTCATGTCGAATGATGCCTTTGCAGCCATCTCACGCCTCTCTGCTGCAAAAATCAATATTGAATTTACCCAGTAAGTATATTTATACATATATCTTTTTATCTTCTCTATGCTCCTATGTCATCATCCAAGTTATCATCTTAATTCCACTGCTTTTCAATTCTTACAGGATATGACCATTAATTCTATTCAGAAGCCATACCCCATATACTACTAATTGATATCCTGACGTCACGTCAATAGGTTGTTGTTGTTTAGTAGTAAGCAAGATTTTGCTTCTTGGAGCCAAAGCATTGATCTAATAAAATACTTTTGACCTGTCCTGTTTCAATCATAAATTGTAATGCGTGCGTGCATCACTGCCTATGTCATTGACACTGTTGATAGTCAATTAATTATAATAGCATATATAATAATTAATTTGGGAAAACAGAATTAATTCGTATATATGCCTGGATGGCTAAGACTCGCGACAATATTTGAAACTGGAATTGGACATTCGCAACAACAATCTAAAACTAGAGAAACAAGCGTCATCAGTTCATGAATAACTTGAAGCTGATTATACCAATATTAATTAATGAACATGAAGTTGCTTGATGTTCTTGTCTCAGCTGGCACTACCATTTTTCCACTAGGCTTTGTGTACTTAATTAGTGGACTGAATAGTGTACAAAGAATTCAAGATCAACGAAAAAACACAAGTTTGTCATTGTGGGAACGATATTTAAAGGTTTCTTCCAGTAGCACAAGGGGATATATATATATATATATATATATCTAGTGCTTTTTAATTGAATTTTAGTGCTTCAATATGGTGCAAAATGGCACCTCTCTTTTCGCATTCTGTTCGATCATGGTGTGGAAGTTTAAGGATACAAGCAAGGTTGTGTAATTTGAAATCTCTTCACGTACACATTCAAGCGACAAAATTGCAGCAGTTCATAAGACTGCTAGCTAGTCATTATAGATGGGAAACTTAATGCTTTCACATGTCACAGGCACAATAAGCATTTCAGTATTTCAATTCAAATCACATATTTCACCATTCGTGGAATTTATGTTCATTATTTTTGGATAAGGAAGCACGTTTTGATAGATATTATTTTATATGCACTATCATTTAGTATTATATTTTATAAAACCCAGATTAAGGGTATATTGCTAAGCACTTCTCACATGTGGGTTTTGGTGTTATGCTCTGTGAATAAATATGATAGTTTCAACCCAATTCATGTATACAAAAGAGAGGCGTCCTATTCTTTTCCACCTTGATTTACAGTTGCCTAATTGAGATTAACACACAGCAAAACTAACATGAAATTACTTGGGTATCTTTCTGTTTTGTTGGTGATTTCTTCTCAGGAATGCGATTAATTCCTCACCTTTATATCCTTTCCATATAATCTTGGAACATAATCTCTAGACAAAATTTTAACTTATATACATAATACATCCATTATGTAGAATTAAATTGATTAAGGGTTTTATACAATGTTTGTGGGTTAACTTATGAATCAGTACTAACACGTTTTACAGAAATAAACATAAAAACAATTTCAGAAATCAACTAGCATTTTCTAAGGGGATTGGTATCTAGAACATGTTGGCAATACTGAATATTCAAATAATCAAATGTTTCCTCTGCTTGGCTTGTTTTATTCATGAACATGCTGGAAACAATGGAAGTTCCAATATTATTATCGCCAGATTTGAATGTTCAGATTTGATTCAGTCAGCTTTACCAGGAAACAGAGAAGATTAATCAAGATAATGGATTTTGACCATGAACCAATGAATAGTCACACTAGATGAGGCTTAAACCTCCACTGAGTCAACCCCATTTTTGGAAAGGTCTCGATCAGTTTTATTCAGTATGAGTGGTTATAATATATTCATAATGGGTCGTCGCAAATTTCAGTTCAACATATCCACCAATAAGTTCAACATCTTGCAGGCATAAATTGAGTATAGCAAGCACGCCACTTAGCATACGAGGAGAAAGTGGTAGGGAACGCATCAACTAAAAAGGGCAATCATAAAAGTGAGCAGCTCAGTGCATGATAGATATTTAGGATAACCTAATACTATAGTTAGTGGCAAAGTGTTTGTTTTCAAGTGGTGCAAGTAAGCACAATGGACTGGCCAAATAAAAATTCAGCTTCATAATAATTCTCCAAAGTAATATTGACGGCCAAAAATAATTCAATTAGTAGCATTAACATATTCTGCATCAAGCAGGATTCAATTTGTTTGTTTTCCCCCCATCGACTCCTATGTATCAACCTAGCACTAAGTTAATAATTCCCGCGAAAATGGTTCGATCGTATCTTGAAAAATTAGTCTCTTATAGTTTTAATTAGAGGTAGAAATTTTCAACATCATCCGGAATATAGGACACGAGAAATTCATATTCAGATTAACCTATTTTAAAAATTTTGTCATTCATATTAAAATCACCTAATATGAAAAAAAAAAATTGTTCATAAACAAATCAAAATTATAAAAATATATTTCTCCTGATATCAAAATGATTAAACCTTAAATTCTAAGTTATCTCCTGTTATCTAAAAATTTATATTTAAATATTAAACCGGTTCACAGATTAAACAGTTGAATATGTAAAAGGTTAACCTCAACTCATTTATAAACGAGTTAAAACTGTTATCACATACGGTTAATAAACTGAACTGTGTACGAACTTGAGAGTGGATTCGACGTTGATTCGACTCAGTTCTAGTTTATCACCATCTCGGTACTAGTGTACCTTCCACTTAAGCTTCATAATGGCCCATGATTGCGCACGCTTTAAGGAAATCAAACCCACACAAATGGCAGTGTGAGTATTCATGGGTAGTACTACTGTAATGAACTCACAATATTTGTGAAAGGAGATTCCTTAAGGATCGTGAATGAGCGCGTACTAGGCTTAAACCAAAGCAGATGTCAACTGTCAAGGTAGTGAGTTCAACTCAAATTAAGGGGTTTTTTAAGCTGATATACTTAAGTTAAACAAAACCGTGCACTCGCTAGCAGCTGTAACCCAATGCAATAGAGAAAACAAAATAATACAGCTCAATTACTCGTATTTATCACAGAAATATAACACGTGTTACTACTATCTTTGTAATATTGCCAACAGCTGATGAGTGATGCCCACAATACACACAAAGACAAAAACTACAAGCGTGATTTCAAATACTTTGGTTTAGTTCCTTAACAGAAAATAGATTATGTGGACAATTTGGACATTGTGCATACTTGTATAGACGTGCAAATCACTATTTATTAAATAAAAAGTAAGTTTTCTTCAGCTTGTTGGACAATTCGGATAAGAGTGTTAGATTTTCAGCCAGTGGACGAACCATGTCCCTGTCCATTCTAGGTTGGAATTTGGATTATAGCAATTTTTAACAGAGAGGAAGACAAAACAAACAAGAGCAAAAGAAGGCAGTGATAAGTGTTAGAATAACTGTGTCTGACTCAATCCAAAAGCTAGGTCGTAAGGTGAGGATTTCGCCCATATATTTAGCAGATGTGAGGATAACTTAACAAGAAGATCATCATCAGACATTGTATAATTTCCAACTTCAGGCGTCCATTTCATAATCGTCTAATGATGCATTTCTAACATCAAAACAGGTTTATATCAATCTCAACGTCTTGAATTATGGTTGAAAATTCAAAAAAAAAAAAAAAAAAAAAACGAATCAGATTTCTCTCACGGGTAGGGGATGCATGATATCCCAATGACAGCATCAGACAATATTCATATGGCCATGTTTCAGCGAACAGAGACGACCATAATTCACAAGATCAACAAGTTCTTTTTTTTTCAAACATTCGGCAATCCAAAAACTAAGGTGGAGTGAAAAAGTGATGTAGTAAACAGAAGGGACAATGAAAACATCTAACCAAAGCAGAGTAAATCGGCAAAATCTTGGCTAACTAAAACAACGATAAATTCAAGATTTCATCAGAGTTAAACCATTAATACATCCAGTGATTAGTCATCCCCCAAATATTTTATCACTTTTCAAGATCATATTACCAGACCAGAATATTTCGCTCGTTAACATTTAGACTTTTGAGTGAAAATTTTCATTTGTCAGACATAACCAAATATGTTGCTTAGCCTTTAACACCATGCATATCACATTTGTATGAGAAACCCTGAATTCACAATACCAGAAGCTAGATCACAAAATAGGAATGTATTATGAATAAATAAGCATTTAAACTCGACAAATTGAGTCCCTACAACAACATTACATAAAACTAAGCACCGAAAAGGGGGAATGGGGAAGAAAAAAAAAATAGTAATAAATAAAGGATTTGAGACTCTTACTCTAGTAACACATGTAATAGGCTCCATAGGCAACAAATGCAGATCTCAAATCCCTGATAACAGTAATCACCGGGAGGATCAAGAAAACTACACATACCGAATCAGTAATTTGTCCTGAGAACGCCAATTCCTTTTTTGCATCCAAAATCCAGATTGCTCTTCCTCCTCGTTTTATTTTTTAATACTCTTTTTTTTTTTTTTTTTGGTTTTCTTTTGTTTCCTCCATTCTTGAATCTTTGTAAACTAGGAAATTAAATAAAATAAAATAAAATCAATTCTGCTGGTCGTTCCTCTTGCCGATGGCATCTCCTTCTCTGTCCTGGAGCAACCTCCCTGTCTCCTCATCAGGCTGCTCAGGTTTCTTCTGTGCCTCCTTGGCCTTAAGAGCCTGCAACTTTGAATGGTTGTAATATGCGACGCCCAAGAAGGCAAGACCATACCCAAACAAATTGAGTGGCGTGACTGTGTCCTTAATAACCGACCAAGAGAACGCAATCAAGAGCCAATCTTTCACCACCCCAGCCACATTCATTGTCAAAGCAGATGTCTTTCCAACCAGAAGGAACACGGCCAGATTCAATGCGAACGCGCACAGAGAATTCGTCCCAAATATCACGAAATCAAAGTGAAAGCTCGAAGTCTCCTTCAACACAGGGTACTCCACAAAGATCCACGGCACCGACAAGAACACCAGACAACAAGGTGCAACGTAGTACAAGGATGTAATGGGGTTAAGCGAGATCCCTTTCGAGGTAAGCAAGATTTGGATCATGACCAACCTCGTAGCCTCGAAAGCGACGGCACCCAGTTGGAGGATGACACCCCATGTGTCAAACCTCGCCTCGCCATAAGCGGCAACGGCGACGCCGAGCGAGATCGAGAGCATGTTACACATGGTGTCGTTTTTGTAATTCTCTTTTTTAAGGATGACCCCAATGGAGTAAACGGCAACGGGCATGAGGGCCTTGAGCATTTGGATGAAGGAGACGGAAAGATAGATGTAGGCTGAGTTAGAGAGCCAGAGAGAAAGCGAATAGAGAGCGCCGATGGGGACCACCGAAGAGAGGTAGACATCACGCGACATGGAAACTGGTTCTACGAGGTGGAAGACGCGCACGACGAGAATAGCGAGGGTGGCACAGAAGGACATGTGGATCATGGTTAGGGAGATTGGGAAAGGCCAGTTGTACATCTTCTTGTCGAGGATGTACTTGTTGTAAACGATGACGGTGAAACTCAGGAAGATCCATATGGCTACGTAGGTGTAAGAGAGGATGATCTTCTTCACGACGCCATCGCTCAGAGATCCACCTTTTCCCATTGTCGGAGAAAGAAAGAAAGAGGGTGAGTGAGTGAGTGAGGCACTGCCACACAACAAGAAGAACAAGTAGAAGAAGAAAGGGTCAGGTCAGAGAGAGAGAAAAGAGAGAAACACAAGTGCCACCTCTCCAAAATTTGATGCGGTAATTAAAACTAAAAGTGAGAAAAAAAACAAACAATCAGGGAAGGTAGCTTCCATGTATTTTATTCTCTATTTACACAAAATTAATTATAATTAAAATTTATTAAACTCGTTTTTGTGTCTCGTATCACGAAATCATGAATCCAAATCTGATATACAAAAATATGTGTGGTATCTTATGAAGCACCGACACTTCAAAAACTCTAAAGTGTCGTGTCTGACACTTCCCGACACTCTCGGATACTCCGACACTTCAACACGCGTTATTGAAATTCAAAAAACGGTTCAAAGGTTAAATTGTGTTGAGTTTTTAGTTCCAACGGTTAGATTCGTTAGATTATGATTACCATTTTATTGAGTTTAAAATAAATATTTGGAATATCTTACGTGTCTTTGCAAAATTTATGAATATTATAAGTTTAGATACATTTTTTTGTTAAATTATTGAATATTAAAGATAATATATACTACATAAAGTAAATATATTATTTAATATCAAAATGTGTCCTAACATGTAAAAATTTAACATTTTTTAGAATTAACATGTCGGAGTGTCGTGTCACGTGTCTCGTGTCAGTGTCGGTGCTACGTAGGTGGTATCAAACTCATCTATACACAAGAATTAGTTAGACAAATAAAAGAATTAGTAAATCTTAAATAATATATTAAGTATATTATAAGATCGTAATACAATATCGGTAATAAATTCAAAATAAATCTTATATACAGATATATATAATTTATGAAAATATGAAAAAGTCATTCAAAAATATGGAAAGATTTTTTAAATTATTCAAATAAAATTACGAATTTAATGGTTGGATTTTTTTTATAAAAAAAAAAAAAGCATTTTTAACTCGTTGATTTGTGAAGATACCAAAAAGATAAAGATCATAACAATTCCAAACCTAATGAATGAATATGAATAATTTTCAAAAATTATTATTGATTTGGTAGTGAAAATCTATTCTAAAAATAAATATGGAAGCAGTTTATAATTTTCCTAATATTACAATGGAATTTATCAAAATGTTTCTATATCTTTTAAAAAAAAAAAAAAAAACTTTCTGTATCGGGGATATAAAAACTTGTGACCTCTATCCTTGTGTGAACATATAAATCATTAATATTTGTTTACATTGATATGATAAATATTGTTCTTATGAGATGAATGGCAAAGTCAATTCCAACAAATAATTTGGCAATTGGCACCAAACCCATATTGGTAAGTTTGAAATATGTCTTCTTTTACATTTGGGAAACCCACTACCCTTTAAAGTTGCTTATTGACTGAGAAATAATTATGGAAGGTGAATCTCAATGTAATGGAAAAAAATAATTATTATTAATATATAAAAGACAATGAGTCCAAATTCCACCCAGTTCTCATCTCTTAATCGTCACATCAGAATAGAAATTTATATTGTAATTTGAAAGTGTAAAAAAAAAAAAAAAAAAAAAAAGTTAGGTGTAAAACTTTATAAAATATATTAACACCATGTATTGCTGAATATTTTAAAATTTAAATATAAAATGAAAAAGGATTTGTTTTTTTGCGTTAAATACAGATAAATTATTTACATTGAACCTAAAACGACGTCGTTTTAGAGTTAAAATTAATATTTTTATAAATATAATTTATTCCAAAATTATAACAGTATTTATCATTATACTTTTTTAATTTTTCAATCCAAAACAATGTTGTTTTGAGAGTAAATGTAAATAAATTATATGCATTATTATAAAAACATTAAAGTCAATGAAAAATAAATTAATAAAATTGTTAGTTTAAGTTGTTTTCATTTAATATGACTAATAAAAAAAATTAATATTATTCTTCTCTTGAAGATATGAATTCAAATCCCATTACGAATATTAGAAACAAATATAAGGATCAAAAATATAATTTTTAATATCAAATCACTCACAACAAATTATTTCAATGTTAGATTTCTTATAATCAATTCTTCTATAACCTTACTTAAAATAACATTATGATGGTTCCATTTTTCAATGAGATTTAATTCTGTGGCTGTGGCTAGGCTGCAGTCAGTGGGCCTGACCCGAGTAAAATAAGTAAGTTACTACACAGCCCATGATCAGTAAAATAGAAACAGGACTAGAGTCACGAGACTGACAATGTTGTTTTATTACTTGTGTTGTTCAGTTGTTATTTGTTATTTGTTAATGGGGAAAGTAACAAAAGTTACCGGTGGCATTGCAAGGAAGTGCAAGTTTTTTGTTTTGTAGCGTATTCAAAAGATTTTAAAATGGGACTTAATCCGCGTACATCAGTTTTTATTATTTAATTACAATTAGACCTGTTAAAATTTTGTATATATTTATTTAATGTTGTATGAAATAATTATATTATACAATAGAGATAATATAGTAGAGTCCGTTATTTTATTTTTAAAAAAAATTAGTAGATCTCATTATTTTATTTCTATTGCGTGAAATAATTATCTCATGCAACTTAAATTTTTTACATATTTGTGCTCTGATTTTATCACTACATATCATATTCATGTAAAGTATATTACAAAAATGTGTAAGATTCTAAATATTTTTTTAAGTGGTTATTATTTCTCCACATAAAATAATTTTCAACAATCTCAAAAATAACGTAATTTGGGAATTGAAACAATTAATAAATAGTCTTTTGATAAAATTTATACTATAAAAAAAATTAAAACACTTTTTATTAATTTTTTCAATTTTAAAAATGATATAATTTTGTGATTACTGAAGATAACTTTATATTAAGTCAATGGAAAAATAATAAACCCTTCTTCATAGAAAATAAAGGTTACGTGTTAGTTTAACTACAAAGTGAATATAAATGTGTAGTCTGAGTCTTAAGAGCACGGGCATTGATTTTTTTTTATCTAATAACTTTTAGATGAGGTGTCAAATTTGAAATATGACACTGGTGTCAAATGATCCTACCTATATATATATATATATATATATATATATATATATATATATATGGGGTAGGATATTCTTACACCGGTGCAAGAATTAAAAGTTTTACACTCAATCTTGTTGAGATATATAGTTCCACATTGATTGTGTGGGCAACTAATGTGGCCTTTATAAGGCCTTGGACACTCCCACCCTTTGAGCGAGCTTTTGGAGTGGTGTATCCCAAGGTTCTTTACATGGTATCAGAGCCTCACCGTCCCCCGCTTTAAAAAGTGGAATTAAAATAAAATAAAATAAAAAGCACAAAAAGGTAAACCAAAAATTGGACCTGTACAATTCCACGCTTCTAGCCTAAAGGGCTCTTGCGTGAGGGGGCGTGTTGAGATATATAGTTTCACATTTATTGTGTGGGCAACTAAAGTGGCATTTATAAGGCCTTGGACACTCTCACCCTTTGAGGTAGCTTTTGGGGTGGTGTATCTCAAGGTTCTTTACAAATCTTGACCATTGATCCACTTGTATCCAATAGCTCACATTACTAAAAAATTAAAGCCCTTATTTATAATTGGGATCAATGGTCAAGATTAAGAGTGTAACTTACACTGGTGTAAAATTATCCTGACCCTATATATATATATATATATATATATATATATATATATATATATATATATATATCTGGGGTAGGATATGCTTACACCGGTGTAAGAGTTATAAGTCTTACACTCAATCTTGACCATTGATTGTATCCAATGGCTCATATTACTAAAAAATTTGAGCTCTTAGATATAAATGGGATTAACGAACAAAATTAAGAGTGTAACTTACACTGGTGTAAAATGATCTTGACCCTGCTTTCCAAAAAAATAAAAAAATGATCCTGACCATATATATATATATATATATATATATATATAGGGTAAAGTGTGTGTCATTTTAAAGGATGTAAAATTGTGTCATTTTAAGAGAGAGAAAGAGATAGATAAAGGGAGAGAGAGTTGACAAAAAAAATAAAGGTGTGGATCTCACTTCTTTATGAGAGTGAAAGTATATAAGTTGTGTCATTTAAAAGAATAATCATTTTTCCCATATATATATATATATATATACATATATATACGCCTTATCTTTTCTCAAGCTGCTTGAGATAATTTTATCTCCGGCTATTAAATCATAACCGTGCAAAGATAGATCAATGATGATAAAGGAAGAGAAAGAAAAAGGGAATCATAACCATTCAAAGGTGAATCAATTAATATAAGGAAATAAATAAACAAAACGACGAAATTTTGAGATGGCCGTAGATAAACTTATCTCAAGTTGTTGGAGAAATATTTTTTTCATATATATATATATATATATATATATATATATATATATATATATATTGCGAGTTATAGTAATTTAAATCCCTATTTAAATATGTATTTTTACAAAAAAATTTATCAAAATAATTTTATCAAAATTTCAAATTGTTTATGATTTTTTTTACGTTAAAATTTTATATTTTATAATTTTTTATTTTCCTTCCGATTTTAAGTAAAATCATTTTATCTAAAATGATTTTAGGTAAAATAATTTCATCAGAATTCCGAGTTCTTTACACTTCAATTACAATTGTAATGTGGGCATCTTCCCTCTTCTGCTTCCCCATTTTTACCTTTGTGTTATAATTAAATAATTTTTTAACAATACGCTAAAGTATTTATTTATTTATTTTGGATCAAATTTCACGTAAATTTGAAGTTTATATTTTATTTTTTTTGAAGTAATCTTAACTTAAGGGTGTATTACTCCGATCGAGCTGGTTACTTTGCGTATTCAAAAGTTTTTATCACAACTAGACACAACTCAGATGTTGTTACATCTAACCCGCTGAACATTAAAAAAATTCTATCACGTTTCAAATGCGATGACATGAGTGGTTTACGACTAACTGTGACTAAAATGATTATGTGAGAGAATATAATGGCACACCACAATGTATATATATAGCACTTACGCTTTTTATTCTTGATTAAACATAAAAATGAGTTGGAATTTTTGTACTTATTAGTTAAAATATATATTAA